AATGTTTTGGTAAGTGCCAATTAACCTTCCTGAATAAAAGATCTTTAAATCTTTGCTTACGTTTTATGAACAGTGGCTTAATGTAAGAATGTATTTGATACTTTTAATATTTTGTTAGAAATATTAACCGGAATAGAAACTGGAAAAAAAAGTGAAGCATGCTTGCCTTTAAAAAGATGCTTACTATTTACAGCCGCTGACACTGTGTTTTTCCTTTAAACATGTTGTTTGTACCCATCTTGTTGAAAGCAAGTAGATAACAGTTCAAGAAAATAAACAAAGCCCTCACCTGATTCTTCTTAATGACTTTGTATACTGAGAGGATTACTGTATAAAGTAGCCAACAGTGTTGGGTTTTAGTTTGCAATTAAAAAGGAAAGGAAACAAAACTGGATCTGATCCAGAACGAGGAGTGTATTATTTCAGCTATGAAATAATGGACTTTGCAGTTTTTAAAGAGAAAGAAGGGCTGTTAAATAAGACTCAGAGGCGTTATCTTTAAGATGATTTTGAAATGCAAAATGGTAATAGAGAATATGCATTTCTAAAATTTCCTTCCTGGATCTTATTTCAACTTACGTTTACATGCTTATACAGTATAGAAGACCATAACTATAATTGTAGTTATATGAATAATAATTCCTCTGATGTTGCAAATGTGTAATATTGGTAGAAGATCTTTTTTCTCTCTGCACATATGTGTCACCTGTCAAGAAAAACCTCTATAATGCATGTGGGCCACTTATCAGTTACACAATTATAAAGTTGCTCCTTTAATTTTCTTCAGTGGTTGTTATTTTTATACATAAACACTATATATTTAATTATCATATTAACTTAAGTCAAGTTAAAAAGGATCTGTATTTTTCTTTTGCATTATTAAAAATGGGCATGGCATAGTATAACTAAAAACTGTCTTTTTGGTTTATTTGTTTTCCACTAGTGAGGTGTGTTTGTGTATGTATGTGTGTGTGTGTTTGTGTGTATGAATAAATGTCAGTCAGTCCTCAATCCATTAAGATACTGGAAGTGAAAGGCAAAATTCTATACATTGCTGAATTCTGATTTTGTTTTGTTCCTAATCAGGAGGTGGTTTAGTTCTGAAAATCAGGTTTAGGTTATTGATGCTTACATTTTACTCTTTTGGGTTAAGGAGGACCTTTCCCCACCTGTTCAGATGTATTATGTTATAGGAATGTTTTAAGTAACTAAAGAAGACTGTGCACAATCACCTTCTCAGAATAAGTTCACAAAATGCAAGATTTTACTCTTAAGGAATGTAACATTAGGCATATCTATGTCCTTTTACTAATTTGACCTTTATATACACATAGTGGATTATTTTCTGTAATTTTTAAGACCTAGCATATAAAAGTTTTTTTTTTACTTTAATAAGGGGAATAAAGTAGAAATTAAAATCTTTGGCCAAAGTAGGATTAATAAGTAAGGATACAAAATAAATGAGCCTCCAATTTGTCTTACAGGTCAAGAAAGATGTAGTGCGTGAAATTAGTTCAATTGCAATGATAGTGCTTCCCTGCAGTACAGTAATTATGTAATACATGAATTCTGCATAGGTGTGTGTGTCTCTGTATATATGTCTATTATCCAGATGCATGATGAATATATGATTGAATATTATGCTGCATATGGTCATGCATATAATATTCCTTAAAGTGAAATTTCCAAGTTTTTATTTGCTTTGTTGTTAAATTCCAGTTCTAGCTGAGAGGGAGTTTCTGTAGTTCTAAGATAGTGTCTGCTGGCAAATAGATTAAATAAAGATGACTACTTTGATATATAAACATATCTTGAAGATTCTGTTGGTAGGGTTAAAAGAAGGCACGTTAATGTTAGCCTCATCAATATGTCATCAGTATGAAAAATAAGACATGAAACATAACTGCAGCTGTGGAATTTAGAAATGTGATCAGACGGGACTATTCGATTCTGCTCAGTAGAGAAAGGAGATTCATTATTAATGTTTGTTGCTTTTTGTTGATCATTGTGGTTTCTGAAGGATTATGGTAGGATCATACTTCTGTGGTAAGAAGAAATTCAAGTCAGAAAGATTGGATGAATCTATTGCTTGTGTTCTAGGCCTTTCTGAAATCTAGGAGAACAGATATATATATATAAAGATATATATATATATATGTAGGT